AAAACAGATTTAATTGGGCGCAATTTGCCACTTTGATAACGGCCCAAACGAATAACTTTTAACGGTACTATTTCATTGTCCACACCAATTGATTTAATAATATTCTGAATTTGATTAAAATCATGAGTAATACGATCATCTGTTTTATTAGAGTTACATTCTTCAACATTATAAAAAATGAGATTAGTTGCTCGACTATTTCGATCATTAATTTCATTAATAATAAACTCATTATCAAGTGAATTATTAGAATTAAACGAGTGAGAATTTTTTAAACCTTCAACTTCAACAAGTAATTTTTTTATCAATATTTTTAATTGAGGCAAGTCTTTAAGACCATTTTCACATCCAGCACAGAAATACTTCAAAGTTCTTTTTTTCAAAGACACACATTTAATTTCCGATGTAGTAAGACCTGAACATTTATCATGAACAAGACTAGCACATCCGTCACATTTTATAGGTACGTCTAATTCAGCGAATCGATTATCACAAACTATTCACTTGGTATCAGCAGACATCTTATAGATTTTAATTGAAACTTTAACAAAACTTACTAAATTTTATCAACTGAAATACGTAATTAAAATTTACCGCACGGAACTCGCGAAACAGAAACAACACGTCCGACCGCTACGAGTGCCAACTGATAACTGAAATATATCAGAATATTATAACAGAAACATAAGCTGTAAGTAATGAAAAATTATTTTTAAGTTTGTATTGAAGAAAAATTAGTTTCGCCCTCCCTCCCATGGCCTAAACTCAAATAAGCCCTTGACAACGATTTCAAAATGTTAAATTACCGCAAATTTTATACTTTAGTTAAAAATTGTAATTGAAACTTATGATTATTATACCAAAAAGGACAAGACTATACTTTTTCCTCCCATTCTTCCCCGATCAAACATATCCCCCTCTTAACCACCCTCAGATAACACTTTTGACTATTAAATATTATAATGACATATGATCATGTTTAATAAAATTAAAGCTTAATGCAATGTTTATCATAAACTTACGAGAAAATTTCGACGAAGCCAATCCTACTGCTAATGCTATAAAAAATAATTGTATTAGGGTTCCCATGATTACTTCCGAGCGACTTCGACCAAATTAATGAATTTGGTTCACAGTTTATATTGTCTTACATGCATCAAGCAATCAAAACAGTCCACTTTAGTAATTGGCCAGTTTACCCTGTAAATTTGTTGAATTTTCTAAAAAGAATATAGGTAAATTAAATTTTGAACATAAACATTTTTAAAAACCAACTATAATCATCACTCCGACAGACTTAAGAACATGTCGTGTATGTATTTTGTTTTTTTTTTAATTTAATATAAATAAATAATTAATTTTTTTAAATCTAGATGGATTTACCTATATAATTATTGGTTAATAATTTTTATCGTAAAATCCATTTTATTATTATGTTATATTACAATGTTTAGAAATTATTTTTAATGAATAGGTAGTTATACATTTTCTCTTCGTTGATGAAAAGTATAAGATAATATTATTTTAAAATGTATTATTTAATATTACTGTATATTAGGTAAGTATTGTTAAGATGGGACACAATATTATTGTGGGCTTTCCTTAAAATACAAGCCTGCTTACACCTATACAACCACCACATTATAAGTATGAGACATTTTTCTTATGAAGTTCCAAAAAAGAATTGGTATTAATGAGTTTGAAATAGAACAATCGAAACTTATAAGTAATCATGTATATTAATGATTCTCTTTATATGGCCAAAATGAAATAAAAGCGTTAAACTGTGATTATTTATGTCATTAAATCATAAAAACTATTTAAAAAATAATCATTATAATAACAATGTTTTATTGGTGTATAAATGAATAAAATAAAATTTAAATAAATGAAATGTTTACTTCTAGCAATGGCATTCTTAAAATATAGAAATTAATATATTTTTAAACGTGTTAATATTGATATAAAAATTATTTAACTAACTCTTCAAAAAATATAAGCAGTTACATATATATTTTTGCTATACATTTTTAAAATCAAATGCATATTAGTAAAATCGGTAATTAATTTCAGTACTTACTAATAACTTTTTTTAATAGAATATTACTTTTATTATTAAATTAAAAACATTAACACAGCATAACTAACTTCTCAAACTGTTGTAAACTAATGTTACCATTCTATAATTTTAAGTTATTTTATACTACAACTGCATGATAAACAATGAATAGATGCCTAGTGCATGATCTTGAATTGATTTTGATGAAAAAAAAGTTAAGAAAATTATGCGTTTGCATAAAATGTTGTTCAAAAATTAATAATCATAAATTTGCAGTGTACAACAACAAAATACAATTGAAATTGTTTATAAATTAAAATTCAGTGTGACGCATTATTTTTCATACATTTCAATTTTAATTTGTTAATATAATTTGACTGAACATTGCCAAATTTGAATCATTTGGTAACAACTAAAATTGTAACATACTTAATAACTTTTTTTTTAAGAATTACAAAATAAAAATAAAAGTGATGATAACTTTATTTTTTAAATGTTATTACTAGGGCTCGAGACTTCTAGGAGTTTGCATGTTTTTAAATAATCATCAAAAACATAGCTAAGTATTAAAAAAAATTGTTTCATAGCAATACAAGTTTATATTTAAAATGTATAGTTGCATATTTTGTATATTTGACCGTTTTTAATTTATAAGTGCATATTTAACAATTTTTATTTGTATAAGAGCATATTTGACAGTTATTTATATGAAGGAGTAAGTTTTTTATTTTTATAAAAAAAATTATGATTTATTTCTTCATCTATCACTCAACTTGTAATCCAAGGTGTGGCACTAACTGAACATTAAAATAATTAAAAACACAAAAGAACATATACATTCTACAAAAGTTGAATTTTATAAACTACAAAAAATATAAAAAATTTTAAATGGAAAAAATGAATCTATGGACGATTGCCTGCAGATATAAGTAGTAAACTACAATTTTTTAAGTTTGCACCAATAAGTTCCATAGATGTGGGACGTTCTTTTTCTAAATATAAAAATATTTTGGCAGATAATAGACGGTCATTTAAATTTCCCAACAAAAAATATCTTATAGTCCAATGTAATGCTCAAGGTAACTAGTAGGTACTATACAGACAGAAAAAATGTTTTCAATTTAATTTATTTTTAAAATAATTTTAAATTTGTTATTTTAAGCAAAAACTCAATACAAGATGAAAACAAATTTGAAAAAAAGAAAATAATTATTTCATATCATTATATCTATCATATCTAAAAATATTATTATCATTTATTACTAAATACATTTTTTTATTTAATACAAATATAAATTTTTTTAAATGCATATTTTAATACCATATTTATTGATTCTTTATAGCATAAATGCATACATACTTTAAGGTTTTTAAGGGCATGAAGTCCCTATCCCTAGTTATTACTCACAGTAAACACAGGATGAAATTCACAGAAAAATGTTAATAAAACAAAAAAAAAAAAAAACTGATGTGGTTAAAACGAACCCTTATTTAAAATGATAAAACTAGATAATAGTTCTACTAAAAAAAAGTACATATAATAAATAAATAAAGTTAAAATTATACAATGTTGAGACAGAGAAAAATATTAAAAACAATTAACATCACATAGATAAATATAATTATCTAACTTTATTAAATACATTGGTATTATTTAAAACCAAATCAACTAAAAAAAAGTTGCAATTTTATGTGCAATCCATTTTTTAATTTCCCATTTTATTTAATAAAACAAAACAATAAATATGAAATACTGTAGTTTATAGTTAGAAGGATAAAAAAATACTTTTCAAGTGTAAATAAATACAAACTCTAAATGCATCAAGTCAATATAAAAATAAAACAAAAAATAGTAATAGTAATAAAAATAATAATAACATCAATTGTAATTACAAGACAAACTAAATAAATAAATAAATAAACCTATTTTACAATATATTTATTAAAACTCATAAAATTAGTTGAAATGATGTGCGACAAAAGAAATAAGTAAATTCAAATAAAATGTTTAAAGAAATCTCAAGAAGTGAAGATAAACAAATAAATAAATAAATAATAATAATAATAATAATAATAATAGTCATTATTTTCTAAACATCTTTTCTTAAACATTTTAGTAGATAGGAGAGTCTTACAATAGTAATAAATACAGTCCTCAAATAATAATTATCAATCACATGATATTAAATGAGGCAAATCAAAATTTAATCACCAAATCTATATGTATCTGAAAAAAATAGAAAGAAATTTCAATAAAATGTTATGGCAATTATACAATTCTGAAATTATGAAAATGCTGTAGAACTTAAAAACCGTCATAAATCTGGAAATCTTGATGGATCTTCAACATAATTTGACGGCACTTCAAATAGTTCAGAATCTATGTCATCACGGAACTCAAAAGCTTGGAATGTGATCTTGGCAGACACTGTAGGCAGTATTGGAATATCTGTATGAACATTTTTAAATTGTGTTATAATAAGAAATGTATAAGTATTTTACTTTCCATTAATTAAATAGTAATTACAGTAATATCAATATCATGTAAAAAGTATATACATGTAGTTCATGTAAAATATACTTGAATAAAATAACTCAAGTTTAATATTATTTTTAATATCTATATCAGCAATGCCCAACCCGTGGCCAGCAAAGGTATTCTGTGGCTCATTACAAGTTTTTTTTTTAAATAAAACAAAATAATAAAAAAAAAAAGTAAAATTACAATAATCATTCATCCAGTGGTAATGTATGGTTGTGAAGTATGAACGCTACAGAAATCAGAACAAAACAGACTACTGATATTTGAAAGAAAAATGTTAAGAATTTTCGCACCGTGTAAAGATGATATCACAGGGGAATGGAGAATTCGATAAAACGAGGAACTTAAACAGTTGTATCAAATGCCTGATATAATTAGGAAAATTAAAAAAAGGAGACTCCAATGGGCAGGACATGCATGGAGAAAAAAAAGAACTCTAATACGAATGGTTCAATGTGGAACTCTCCAAGGAAAGAGGCCTATAGGATGACCCCGACTTAGATGGGAAGACCAAGTCAGGAAGGACGTACAAACAATAGAACCAAGGGCCGAGTGGAATGTCCTAGCCATGAATAGAGAGAATGGTAAGATATATGTTTGAATGTATGATCTTAATGGTTGATTACAAAAGAGAGAGATAAAATTAGAATAAAATACGATTTATTTTTAAATGTATTCATTTTATTTTTGAACATTTTCAGATAGAAATTTCTTGATATAACCTGTGCACTTAAAAGAGCATATTGATCAAATTAATGTGTACCTACAGCGTGTAATCTTTTCACTAGTCAATAAAATATTTGAAAATAAATTCAATATCTACATGTATAATATATACCTACCATGAGTAACAAAATAACTTTATTAGATTAATATTGATATTATTTGTAATTTTATATTTGGTGGTCCACTCTAAGATAATTGTTTACTGAAGTGGCCCGCCGAGGAAAAAAGGTTGGACATAACTGGTTTATACAAATGGGTTTTACTTTAAACATTTAACTACTGATTGTAACATACCTAATTTGACTGGAAACCCGGGTGGTAACTTCAAATTAACAAAATCACGTAGTTTAGCAAAATGTTTGAATGGGGCAGTGACTTCAAGTACATCCATTAGCATAGCTACTGACAGAGGAAAATCCATACTCTAAGAATAATAATAATAATAATTTAATGTTTATATTTATTTTTTAATTATTTTTAAAAATTAAGCATTAAATTAAGTTAAAATATTTCTACAATATGTTTAGGGAATAAATAACTTTTATACAAATGATAGCAATATTTTATCGCAAAAGAAGAAAAATTTAAAAAAAAAACCAATTGATAAACTATTTATTTATATATTCATTAACGAGTAATAACATACTTTATTTTTTAAATATCATTTATAATGGTTTTTAACAAGAATATATATTTAACTATTTAAAGTTTAAATTAAAATTTTCTTTAATTTATAAACTATAAATTTAAACACTATTTTAAGGAGATATTAGACATTTTAATGATTTATTTTACTCATCTACCACTTTTCATGAAAAAAATAAAATATTTAAAACATATCATGTGTTTATACTCTATTACAAACAAGCAATGGAAATTGGAAGGCTTTCTAATTGTAAATAATTACAATAAGTATATTAATTACTATAGTTGAAAAATGAATAATACATAATATATAATATTAAAAATATACAAGGAGAAAATAAAAATGTAAAATTTAAATAGAACAGTTGAAGATCTAATATTCGAGCTTTATCCATAACTCACAGGTATTGAAAGTAACATCGATGGACGCTCATTTTACTCATGTCTAGTAGATTTTAATTTATTTACTTATTGTTTATACATATTGTAAATTTATTTTATATATAATACAAAAAACTCATAGGTATAGGATTATATCATATAACTAGTAATGTTTCTTTTTAGAATACAGTTATTAAAAGGAAATAAATAAATAAATAAACAAACAAATAAAAACTTAGAATGGAGTATTATTATATTTATAAAGTACACCCAGTTTAAAATTAAAAATTTATTGTCAGGTGTATACAAAGTCAATAAAATTTCCACTGAATATGAAAAAATAAAATAAGGAATAGATTGAGAAAAATTAGTCATTTTACATAGGGATAATTTATTTTAATTGAAGATATTATTTAAAATGAGTTCTTATTAGATATATATGTTAACAAATATAAATATATTACTAATAATTTAAAAATCGGTTTTATAACAAATTATAATTTAATCAAACATGTAAATAACAGAAAAAATAGTTTTGCCTCATGGCTTTAAATACCTCTTCTCTTGTCTTACCCGTTTCCTATTTTATTCTCCAAATTCGTTCGATCCTCCTCCCCATTTCCAGCCTTGGGTATACTATTGACCTTTTATGGGTTCCATAATACCGTTATTTTGGGAATGAAATTGCTCTTGTAACTTCATGCTATTACAATGTCCCCTATCCAATCAAAATTCCCTACACCGATTTTATACCAAATCTCAAGGCGCACACTTTGAGATTGTGGAATCGGAAATGGTCAAACCTAACTCCAACCTTCGCTGTTTCTTATCACTTAGTCTGTCCTTGTGTCCTACAATTTCTCTGGTTTCATAATATCCCTATTTCCCGTAAAGTTATCATCTTATTTTCTCACCTCCAGTTCGGCCACAACCACCTCCCGGCCCGCTCATTCCATTTATCTCTTAATGATTCTCCCTTCTGTATTCGGCACTTTGATCCTGCTATATCCTCTCTATATCTTATCCCATCTCCTCTTCAATGGTTCAGACCTTCACACTAAACAGCTTCTCTCCAATATTTGTTCTTCCATTAATATTCCCTCTACCCTACCATATATTTTCTAATTTCCTAATGCATTCCTTATTACTTCCATCATTAATTTCTACCTCTCAGAAGGCTTTTTACTTCAACTATATTTATTGTATAATATTGTTTTTCTAGTTGTTTTATGTAGTTAAATTGTATTATTTATTTATAATCGCTGAGGTATTTTAATGCGTTTATTAAATTAAAAAAAAAAAAAAATAATAAAATAAAAAAATTAAAAAAAAACAGAAAATTTTTTTTTTTTTTTTGAAAATGCTGACATAAATAAACTTAAATGTAATTGTAATAAATTTTATTAGGTAAGAAAAATAAAAATTTTAAAATAAGATATAAAGAACACATTTCTGAAATAAAATTAAAAAATACTGCCCTTAATTCAAATGTTACTAAACATGTTCTAGAAAATAACTATAATATGCATTTTGATATTAATACAGACTTAGAAATATTTAATACCCAAAATAACATACATTAATTCAGTTATAGAAGAGTTACACACTCGCAATGAAATATAATTATAACAATGAAAAATAATTTTAATAATATTTTAAATGTACAAATTGATTTTAAAAGTAATATCTTATATCAATATATTTTAGATAATAAAAAATAATAATAATCAAAGAATTTATTTTTCTTAACATATCTATGTTGAATAAGAACTAATTTTAAATAATCTCTTATTTTAAACTAAATTATCTCTATGTAAAATAACTAATTTTTCTCAATACATTTTTTCATATTCAGTCATAATTTTATTGACTTTTTATATACCTGATGATGAATATTTAATTTGAAACCGGTCACATTTTACAAATATAATAATTCTCCAAACTAAGCTTTTATTTATTTAAAACATATTTATTTTTATTTTATTTTATTAATAAAAGATACTTCCAATACAGTACTTGGTTTTTAATAATTATACATACCATAGCAACTGTTGCTTTAAACCCTCTAGTAGTGTTTTTACAAACCAACTCTCTTGCTAGAATTGGGTGTTGTCCTACTGGAGAAGATACATACTCTTTCCATGTACAAAGTGAAGGTATAGGTGGTAAGAGTGATTCTCGTCTTACAGGCTTTAATATAAAAATTATTAAATCAATAATTAAATAAAAACACATCAATTGTTTAAGTAACATACTTCACCATTGCAGTCAATATTAATAGAGCACCCTCCTTTTGTTAAACTATCCATGATTGCTTTATTTTTTTGTAGATCTTCTTCAGATAAATGTTCTCTTCGTTTTTTCTGTTCTAATGTTAAGCCATTAATATGATAAAAATCTGCATTAAAATCACCAATAGTTTCCTGTTAAAAATGTAAATATAAATGTTATTTAAAATCTGAAGTTTCAAAAAATACAAATAAGCAAATATAAAAACTAGTATGTTTATTGAACTACGTAGAATTATAACACATGTATATTTATTTAATTAAATTTTTTTATTTACTCATTGTTAATTTTTCTTTTTCATAAAAAAATTCTATAATTAATTAAACAAGTATAATTTAAGAAAATAAATTAAAATCCAATCATACTTTTTTATCTTGTCGAAAAATCCAACCAGATTGAGCTCGAGAAAATGTTATTGATTTGGTAGACATCTGTGCAGTTACTATATCTGTACTCATCATCAGATCTACTTCATCTTCTATTTCCATTTCAGTTTCCTTTAAAATAAAAAATTTAATTTTTTTATTTAAAATAAAATGTAATTGTTTTATTTTCTTACTAAATATCTGACACGTTGGTAAACACCAGCTTTATTGTCCATTACAATAAGAGAATGTGGTGGTTTGGCATCACCATCAAACAAAAAAGTAATCTCTCCACGTTCCCATTTCATATCATTCATTGCAAAGTCTACCAGTGTAGTATCCAATCTAAAAGATGTACCTTTTTTATGTATCTGACAAAGATCTGAAGGTAGAACTCTAGAAACTAAAGGCACTAAAGAAATCAGATACATTTATCAATGATTATTAATAATTTATGAACATTTCTTATAATGCATTTAATCAGTGCTCACCCCAACTTTGAAAATCCCATTTAATTTGCATATAGAAATCTCCTACTTGTTTTAATGCAGATACTAAATTTGGTCGCCTGTCTTCAATTTGCTCTCGTGCTTGATGTTTCATTTTTTTTAACAATGATGTAACTAAATTTAAGAAAAAAATTCTAATGAATTCAAATTTTTCTCAAATTAATTAATTTGAAATTAGGATCATAACCAAGTGAAATGTGAAAAACTATTTCTAAGTTCTCAATTTATCAATATATTTATGATTTATCTATAAAATAATATATAAAAAGAGGTATTTAGAAAAATTGATTAGATGATAAAATTTTCAAAACTTCTAATCTTATACTTTTTAATGGAAACAATCCTTTTAGATCAAAATTTTGTACATAGACTACACAATAAAAATAAACATATCATATAGTAAAACAATTATCCATTGTTCACTCAGTATAAAAAAATAAAATAAAATAGAAATAAAAATCACACTGATTTGAATAAATATTTTATTTTACTTTTTTAGAGAAATAGAGAAAATTTTAAAGTAATAATGACTTCTATAAAATACCTTCAGTACTTAATTTTTAGTATAATGTGTAACATAAAATTTAAGGTATAGCTCTACTAATTAAAAAAAAATGTGCATGTGTAGAAAAAAAACATCAAAGTAAACCAAATACTCAAATAGATAAATAAAAAGTGAATAACCTAAAGTCCTTTAAAACAGTTTCATGTTAAGCTAAAAAGGTAAATATGTAATGATATGATATTATAGAATTATTCAAAATCTATCAATAGGTTTTTTGTATCTCTTGCGTCCTTCAATATTCCAAGTGATTCTTTTATTTGTACTCAAAACATAATTGCATCAATTTAAAAAAAACATTATTTTGTATATGATCTTTTGGAAATATGTATATTATAGTGATCTAAAATATTAATAAAAATGAATACTAAAACACTTAGCATCATTAAAGTAAATTTAAAAAGATTTTTAGATCTTAAAACTACAACTTTATTATATATATATATGTAATTCAATTTTTTCTAAATACTCATATTCACATGATCATGCATATAATTTTAAAATGAACCATGAAAAATCTTTATTAGTTTATACAAAAAATTTTAAATTTGGAAACGATACTTAATATATATATACCTAGTAGTGCCATAAGTTCTATTTCTCATTCAAATGTATATATATAATTCATAAAATAAGTATATATAAAAAAATCTGATGCTATTTATTATTTATCAACATAATAACTACAACAATATTAATACTATTCGAAATTTACACCTTTTGTCTTTACAAACTTCTTCAAGTGATCTGGCCACTTATTTATTACAATATTTAACTATTCTAATGGTATTGTGACCGTTGCTTTACCCAAATCAACTTTCAATGATTCAATATTTTGATGGAATTTAGAGTAGGCCTTTTCCTTTAAATTTTCCTAACATTGAGTTGTTTGGAGAAAAATTTATCAAAATGCATTACTGCTCAGGTTTGGCCCTCAGAAAGTCTAGATCTCAATCTTTTGGGCTTCTAGTTGAGGAGTATTTTAGAGTAAAAAGTTTGCTCTAAATCCCAACAAAATATTTAATCATTAAAAGTTGATTTTGTGAATTATATATTTGAATAAGGGACAAAATTTATGGCAGTACTAAGTATATATAGAACATATTTGTAATTAACATTTAACAACAGATAATTTGACAAAGTATCATATTATGTTTTATACAAGCAATATACAAAAATTAACAATAATTGTATGATTTTTTTATACTATTTTTAAATTTAAAATACATTGATACTGTTTTAACATATCTCTAAGTTTAAAATATAAATTATGATTATTTTAAGACATTATAAAAAATATTAAAAATTAATAAGGATTTAAAAAAATATCCATAAATTCTATGCACACCTCATTATTTAAAATCTTTAAAATTAAATCGGAAATTATGTACAACCTTGAAAATATTTGAACCAAGAAAAACTTTTTTTATGAGGCGTGACAATTAATAAACTTAGTTAGTAGTTAAGTTATTTGCAACATTCTATCATGATAATTTAAAATAGTATTAACAAGTTCTCCAAAGAGCAGTATAATTTAAAGTAAGTTCTGAAAAAGTACCATTGACTTTATTTTATAATATATTTTAATTTTTTAAAATAATAAATAATTTTTATGCTTTTCCATGATAAATTTTTGTTTAATTAAGTACCAAATAAAGAAAAAATTTTTAAAAAAAATGATCTTTGTTATGGTGAGTCAAATTTAATTATAAGACCTGCTGAATAATATAAATATTGTACATTTATACAAATATATTGTGAATCAAATGTTAATGAATCTTGTAACATAAATGTCATATCGCTGATATGTGATGTAAGTAAGAAATTTTTGATTAATAAGCATAGACATTAAAATAATGAATTGGGTAAGAAAATTAAGTCTTAAATAAATTTTTGAATAAATTATAGGAAAAATATAAGTCTAGCCATGGACTTGATGTTCACCAGCACTCCTGACTATAAAAACATTTCATACTCAAATGTATACAGTAATTACTAAATAAAAATAAAAAATATAAAATACCTAATGATATATTCTAAACCATTATGTGATACACCGTATTATCATCTATTTAGGTTTCATTATTAACAATATATTTCACGGATTTTGGCAACACTGAAGTCGTATTATCAGAAATATAAGTCTTGATAAAGAAATAAATAAATAATCTTGGTTCTACAACTTAAAATTAAAATTAGTCTGCATAATTAATTAATGTTTTACATTATTATAGCATCACATCACCAAAAATGTAAGTAGTTTAATACCATATTTAAATGAATTACTTAAAATAAAAGTTTAAAGTAGAACTAATTTGTAAAAATATATGTCTCAAGATGAATAGTCTACGAAGATTATTTCCATTATGTCCACAACAAATATTTTTAGCAAAACGATCTTCTTCCAATTCCAGAGATTTATCAGATGAGGAAAACAAGTTATTGTATGATAAACTTATGCGTAAATCTTACAATGAAAAAAATGAAGAAGCTAGTTCATTTATCAAATGGTTAATACCTCATGATAAATTTGGACCACCACGTATTATGTCATATGATTGGTCTATGAAAAGTATATTTAATTGGATGAAACGTCAAAATATTGAGTATAATAAATATACCCAACGTTATACAGTTGATCGGGTAAAAGTACTAGGAAGTGATTTAGCAGCAGCACATTTTTTTGTGTACCGAAATGCTGCTATTAGATTCCGAGGTCAAGATAATTTTATAAAATGGGAAAATAAAAGAGAAGAGTATAATACTGATTTACCTTCAACTTATGAACCAAATTTTTTTGTTGAAGCAATTGATGCATCAGATGTAATATTATATTATCAAGGATTAGAAAATTTGAAAAATCTGTATAAATTAAAATGGTTAAGACTAAAAAATAATCCAGTACTAAATAATTGGCATTTAGATTACATTGGATATGCAGTACCTCACTTGGAATATTTAGATATTTCAGATTGCCCTAAAGTAACAGCTGCAGGAATAGCTGGTCTTCAAAAACTAACTCAACTTAAAGAATTAGTAATAAATAGCAATAATATTGAGATTCAAATGGCTTGTTTTGCTCTAGAAGATGTCATCCCTGGTTTATTTGTTTCAATACAAAGTGAAGATAATCTGAATAGCTGTAACTTAGTTATAGAAGGGAACATTGATGTTAATAAATCATAAGAAAAATATGTAATTAATAGTTATTAATTATTATCTAATAATAAATCATTTTTACTATTAATAACTAACAAAAATGTTACTTGGCTATAATATAATATATTACAATAAAATATTTAAATAATATATTTTATATTTTTTTTTTATCTCTTAGTTATGCTAGTTGCGAATAAATTCTATAAATTAATATTGAAATATTTTAATTTTAGAATTGAATTGATAGTTGTCATATTAAATAAAATTTGAAGAGATAGAAAAAAGGTGTTATCTGCATAAAATTATTTTAAAATATACTTGTAATTTGATAATGAGATATTTGATAATTTGATAACTTGTTAGTGAGGATTTTGAATAAACTCAACTGTATTGATACAATTAGGGAATCTTATTGCTTCAAAATAAGTTTTAAATAAAATTGGATCACTATTATCCTGTATATTTCAATTATAATTTATTTATTTTAATTCTTAAACAATGAAACAAAATGTGGGAACATTAGTTTCAGATACAAAAAAAACACACATAGAATTCTATAACTAAAGAAAAAATAAATTAAACTTATAATTTCGTCCAATTAAATTAATAAATTTGGACAGTTGAATTGTAGATACAATATCAACATATTTTTGTAGTTATAGAAACTTTTTATGTAACTTATAAATTTAAACTGTCCATTTAAAACCTATCATTTTTAAGTAAAATTTATTACATTCAACCAGGGGCGGATCCAGAGTCGGGGAACTGTGGGTCAAGCCATTTTAAGAGGCTCTTTATTAGGGATGAAACTGAATTAGAAATTAATACCTTGTAAAAAAAAAAAAACAATATGCTCATAAAAGTGTATAAGTATATTTATACTACACTTTAGAATTAAAAATACCACCAATAATGACTTATTTATGCTTAATAAATATAATCTAATTTTATCAGCGCAACAAGCGTACAGAATAAAATATGATTTACTTAACTCTCTACTGAAACAATATATTTTAAAATATAAATTATGAATTGAAAAATTTTAAATTACATTCATTCATTTTTTAAGTAACTCCGATGATTCAACTGTCCAAGAGTCCAAATCAAGGTCTAAAAAGAGAAAAAAATTTCCAAGAGGCTAATTTTGTCAACAAATATTAACTGTGGGTCAGCTGACCCCTTGAACCTTTCCCCTAGATCCGTTCCTGCATCCAACAAAATTACATTTAATACCGATTATTTACTTCAAGTAATATTATTTAAATTATTAATAATTAAATAAGTTAAAATATCCTAAGATAATTTTAATTCAACAGTTAGTTTATTAATTAATTTATATTATGCATAAAATTTATATGTAATATTGCCACTCAATGTTAAATTTTGTATGATAATTAATATAACTTTGTTTACAAAACATATAAAGATACTATATAATTAACACCAGTGGTTAATTCATATTATAGAAATCATATTTTATAACAAACTATTTTAGGATTATTAGTTACTATTGTTGATGAAATAATAAGTTATATAAAAAGAACAATATACAACATGGACTTACTAGTAATACGATCCCCATAGCTAACAGCTTCAGCTAATGGTGTCCATCCACTCAGATTTTTTACCTTCACCGGTGCATTATGAGCAAGCAATAGTTGCACTATGTCTAAAATGCAATTCGGTTAGTGTTCAATTTAATAACTTACCTCAAAACAGTAGGCAATTGGTTGGAATACAACAGTGTACCAATTAACTGGAGAAACAATATCATACACTCAACATTTATTGTTCATATAATGTAAATAATTACCTTTACGACCAAGCATGATGGCCAAATGTAGAGCTGTGTTACCTGCAACAGAAAGAATAGGATATACCACAACTTAGCCATCTACCCACATGCGTCGTGTAACAATTTCATATAATAATAATAATTTACAGGTGCAGATCCAAGGGGGGCTTGACCCCTTCCTTCAGACATGTTATTTATTATGTAAGTATGTAAGAAATACTTAATAGGAGGTACGTCTTAAATTAAAGATTGGTCAAGAGACAAATAAAATTATTAATTTTTCATATTTTATCATGTTATTAAAACTAATATGCATATGTATTTACTAAAATTATATATTTTGTCTTTCTGTAAATACAAATTAGCCTCCTCCCATTTCATATTTCTAGATCTACATCTGAATCCTATCACCATAACTCCGCACTCGACGTACCATGTTTATCTTTTCTGCACAAATCTTCCGTCCTCATTAACCTAGCGAACTCTTGGACGTCGCCTTCGAACACGCACTCGTGCAGTGGGTAAGAAAATTGTTGCTGTTCATCCGCCGTTGTCCCCATCGTATGTGCTCCTTTCGTCAACTACCTGCCTGCAACGTGTTACATGTCGTAATTTTTTGACTTTTCTGTTCACCGTTTACACGAAGTTTTACGAGTATTCATCGTATTGTTCGCAAGCAAAACAAAAAATCGTATCAGCGTTTTTCGAACGTTTGGGATATTGATAAAGGAGCAACAAAATTATAGTCGTCGACAAAACGAATGGTGGTGATAAGCGAACAGAACGTTTAAGCCACGCCCACGCCTGATACCATAATTTATTTCACGCACGCAGGTAAGTTACTTACCTACGCTCGAACCGCAGATGACGTGAATCAATTTGCGTAATCGCGTTTTCGCAATTCCATACCGGCACACGCGCACCGCGGATAAACTACCGGGTGTGATGAAACCGCTGCACCCCGTCCGCGTTGCTGACACTTCTATTTGGGCGACGACCCTACCGGCGGCTGCAGCCTGCGGGCTTTACCGTGTGTTTATTAATAAATGGTTGGCCGCTGCCAATACCGAAACACGGGGACCTTGGTGGGGGAACGAGGGTTAGGTCGGACCGTGTTCGATCATTGTACAGTGCGAGGGATCGTCTAGGTGGCAGCCACTAATTATTCATGTTCGTTTGAAATTTCAAGAAGAGTACGTGGGCCGGAATAACACTTCAAAAACTTTTAACATGAATTGCAGTGCAGCTGCTGTTAACGTCTACGAATCAAACCGGACATTTCCGGTGCCGTCTCTCGATCACTTACCTGGAGCTAATTTAGTTTGTGTACTACTGTATGATAATGGATTGCAATTTGGACAGGTGTTCTATGATTGTTAATGATTGTATACGACATCTGCAGCCGTCAATTTATCAGTATACCGTAAAATGGGGTGTCTTCGGACATGTGGGGTGACTCCGGATAAAACCATATTTTTGTAGTTTTCTTATAATTTTAGATTACAAGTTTGATAAAAGTTGAAAACTGATAATCCACGTTAATATCTATTATATCCTCCATATCAGTGGTCTTCAACCGGTGGGTCGCGACCCAATTTTGGGTCGCGTAAGCTTTAAGATTGGGTCGCGATAAGTTTTCTGTTTAAAATTTAAAAAAATCATATTTATATATATTATATAATTTATGTCATATGATACTGCATAAAAATGTTTTCGAATAGAACCGAAACCGTACTATTTTATACTATTTTAAATTTGTAGAAGATTAGAATGAACCCTTTTTTCTCAAACACTCATACTAAATTAGAAAAAATCCTCAAACCAATATGCAACATATACCACTAATAATTAACTATTGAACACATAGTGGAGGAATGAACACAATTTACCTCAATACGCACCGACCTGAACATGCCATCCAACATAGTAAAAGTACTTAACGAAAAACAAACTCTGAAAATTGTCACATTATTAAGTATCACAAATATTATATTAATAAATTTTAATTTACATCTAACTTCACCTATATAATATTTCATATGTAATATTGTAATTTTAAATCTAACACCTAACACATCAAATATGTAACATCTAATAGCTAATAATATTTGTTGTTGAAGCCTCAATCTTCAAATAAAAGAAAAAAATAATAAACAATCAAATGAAGTGGTAGGTTGGCTTAATTTATAAATCGCATTTACATTTCATATATTTATAAACTGCATTGTGTTAAATTTAGCTGAGGTGGAGGTATTTCGTGTGAAAACAGTCCGGGACAAATATCGCACTCATTTATTTTGTATATCAAAACATATACATTTTTCGATATCATTACATGTATTTTTTTTTTTATATATCATTACTTGTATTAAAAATTAAAAATTTCCTAAATACCTAAAAAATATCAAATTTGATTTATTTTGTTATAAAAGCACTTCTAATATGGCATACATTAAATAATTTTAACTTTTTTATTTGGCTTTCATGGCTATCGAAATTTACATGGGTCACGAAAAATGTTTGGTAAGAAAAGTGGGTCGCAGGTCGAAAAAGGTTGAAGACCACTGCTCCATATAATATAATATTTATTAATAACATAATATTATGATAACATATGTTATGGAGGTAAATACAAGATGTTCTATTTTTGGATTTTAAAATTATTAAACTTATAACAACTGTAGCATAACAGCAAATGGACGTATTTGATTTCGGTTTGCGGCAATCGACTCGCTAACTTGTCAGTAATAATTTATATGTGTGCAAACTGTTAGTTAATTTATCCTCACATTGAAGTGTTACATTGTTCAAATTAATTTAAAACGTGGGGTTACTTCGGACACGTCAATTACGATGCCCAGATCATACAAGAAAAAGGTAGGTGGCTGTTCTTATCAGAATTACGATCATAATATAATTAAAAATGCAGTTGATGCCGTTCGTTACAAAAAAATAACAATTCGACGTGCTTCTAAAGCGTTCGGAATACCAAAAAGTACAATATGTGACCATTTAAATACAAACAAAATGATAAAAAAACCTGGTGGACAACCAATTTTAAACACCGACGAAGAAAGTCGACTTGTAGAAGGATTACTGAAATGTTCGGAGTATTCTGTCATATTTCGTTATTCCACAAGTCAAAGATAACAGTAATATCACAAAGATGCAAGTAGTACGAAAGTTAGTGCCCAGTGAAATAATGAAACGGGGACGTTTCATTTTTGACAAGATTGATGCAACTAATTTTCATTGAAGAAATAAAAATTTAAATACCTAATATAACATTTTATAAAAGTTTGTTTCATAATTATTAGTTTATGTTTGAAAAGAAAAAAAATTTAATTTTAAGTTGACATTTTTATAAAACTAAAAAATTATTTTTGTTAATTTAAAATATTTAATAAAATATGTTGTATTTATAGTAAAGTTTTTGTTTTTTTTTTTGTTTAATCCGTCACATTTTTTTTAAAAAAATATCTTTACTGTCCGGAGTCAACCAATATCATTTTTACATTGGTTTTTAATGAAATCAAATAAGTGTCCGAAGTCACCCCATTTTGTGGGTCATTCTGTATAAAATTAAACTTTAAAAAAAGTGAGAACTTTAATAACTTTAATGATTACTCTTCTTCTATATGGTTTCAACATACCTAAAGAACATGGTATATTTTTTTCATAATTTTAGAAACAGTATATTGAGGTTAATTTATGGAAAAACGTTAAGATCTGTCCAGAGTCACCCCATTTTACGGTAATGGATCACACCATTGCGGTCGCATGTCGATAAAATAAGCCTAGATCCCTACAATCAGTGCCGTGTTAAGTTGTAATGCCGTCGGGAGCACGCGTATTTTGTCGCCTCATTATAGATATGAATGTAACACGTTAATAAGAACTATAAACTATTTATAGTTGATAGGATCGATACATATTATTATTTATGTTTATTGTTTACTGCAACTGTACAGGCGTACAAGCAATATCCTCGTCCGTCGAGTCTCGACTGTGTTTACACATCAATATGTGTTAATATTGTAATAATTCGAATAAGATAGTGGCTACGCCACGGCGCTCGCGGGGGAGGGGAGACAGGTTTGGCACCTGCGGGTGGAATTTTTCTCCCATAGTTTTAAAAGAGTATTATAATTTTATATAATAAATATAATATAATATATATGTAAACATTGCGTATGTCTTGTCCGTGCTCATTATTTTTGTGTTGTCCATTGCGCGCACCCACAAGATACCGTAGTGAAAACGAGTCTTCATAGACACGCGGCAGTTACGTTGGTTTATTAACTCCCTTTGAAGGGCTAAATGATCAATTTTTGCTTAGTGTGTTTATTTTTTTTTTTAATACAAGTATTCAGTGGCGGACGCCGGAAAAAAATTCGGGGGGAGGGGGTTGAAATAATAAGAATATGAGGTGTGTTCAATAAATACCCAGACTAAAATTATTAAAAATTATATTTCAAACTTACAAATTATTTAAATGGATCACTTTCAAAATAGTGTCCTTTAGCATCAATACAATGCTTCCAACGGTCTTGCCACTTTTCGAAACACCTTTGAATTTCCTCTATAGCCTTTAGCTCTTAAAGATGTCAAAAATTCACGTATAGAAAATGCAGAATGCGGTGCACGCCGGTGCATTGTCATGGTGGAAAAATCATGGCTTTCATTTCCACGCTTCTGGCCTTTTACGGCGTACTTTCTCTCTTAATCTTTTTAATACTTATTTATAGAACACTTGATTTATTAACTGACCTGTAGGTACCAACTCATAAAGGACTAAAACATTAAAATAAAAAAAAAACAATGAACATTGCTTTGATGTTTGGCCGGACCTAACGACATTTTTTTGGACGAGGTGACTTTGCGGTCTTCCATTGCGATGATTGGACTTTGGTTTCGGGATCATATCCATACACCCATGTTCCATCGCCCGTAATTATTGATTTTATAAAACTTGGGTCATTAGAAACCTGATTTTTTAGATCCAAACACATTTCAATACGATGTTCCATTTGCTTCTAAGTTTACAATTTTGGCACTCATTTTGCGGAAACCATTTTCGGTCGGATCTAATTTTGTCCTGAACTAGAGTAATGGTAATATTTGTTTTTGATGTTGATGGACGCCCAGGATGATGGTCATCTTTAATGGATATACAACCATCTTTAAAACGTTTGAACCAATCAAAAGTCACACAACGGCTTAGTGCAACATCTCCAAAAGCCAATTTTATCAAAAGGTTGGCGACTCTGTGACTCACTGACTCGTTTAACTTACAACTCACAAGTGTCCTACTGTAGATACACGAATCTCAACTCTCGACTCCCTTGATAACGGTTTGCGAATCCAAACGGAAAACGAAATACCAACTTATACAATAATTCCCCTAGGATTTGGTTACCTTAATAAATATAAATATTTACTACCATCATCATAACATAATTTTTTTTTTTTTTTTTATAAATAAATGAAACAAAATTAATACAGTTTACTCCCGATTATCCGTGGAATAGGGTGGCAGGACATCCACGGATAAACGAATTCCGCGGATAATCCGCAAAATTAAATTTTATAATAAAAACTAAATTGGAAATTGAAATTGAAAATTATTATTACATATGTATTATTAAAAAAGATATACATGTATATACATAATAATGAAAAATTAATAAAAATTATAAATTATTTATGTGCAAAAAAATCAGTCACAAGTTATTGTTTCTTTATTTGA